TGAAGCTTCATTTTTGTTTTGCTGCTTGTTGATGACGAACTTTTTAAGGAGGTTGCAGAACAAGATTTCTTGATTTTGGAACTTTGTCGGTGAGACTTCTTAGTGGTTGCTTCTACACAAAGAGGGCACTTCCAGCTGTCATCACCAATTACTTCGGAATCATCCTGTACATTTACGCATTCAAAACAACACCATTTTTTACATTCTACCATCCGTTCTTCACAATATGGCTTGCGGCACACAGGACATAGATCAATTTTGGTTCGTCCAGCAACTAATGGACCCATATTCGTAGACCTTGTAAGATTGTGTGATTCAGCAATCGCGTGTGATGAATAGAATTTGAGCTTGTTGGGAATTTATCTGGTTGAACAGACAGCAATTGACGGATTTGTAGGTATCTGTTTTATTTGCGTAAAAACAACTCAAATTCCGTTCTCTTGCTGTCTGCTAAATTCTTAAATTATTTCAATTTTTCCCTGGGTGACAGTTTTTTTTTGACGTTTTTTATATTATATTTGACATAATTTATGGAACAGTAGCAACGGGAAATTTTATGTAACATGATAAAACTAAATTGAACTAAATACATTTTATACAAATAATAAATATTCGTAACAATATTGGTTTGAACAATTAATTCTTTCCCTGTAAACTTTTGGACAGCGAATATATCTTAATGCATCTTCAGAAAAACTTGAACTTGATGCATTCTTGTAAACTTCAAAAAAATAAAATTTAAACATTAAACTTGATTTTTGGGTTAAAATGAACTCTAAGTGAGTGTTATGAAACTAAAATTTACACTTAAAAGTGAACTTTTATTTATTATTTATTTCAAACTGACTTTAAAATCGGGCGCAAGAATAATGCATAATTTGGGTTAGGTATGTTACTTATGCTTTTTTATGATATAAATCCACTTTTCTCTTTGTAGTAGCTTTGTGCTTCGAAGTTGGAAACGAATAAAACTTAAATTGACAATTGTTTGTTGTATTTTTACAATTTATAACACAGCATTTCCTAAATCCCATTTTCTTCAGAGACAGAAGGTGTAAATGTAAATAAACAAAACGAATATGAAATATGACAATTGACAATATGAATTTATGAAATCTATGAAATGTGCACTAAAAAATGCAAAATTTCTCCGCTACTCGCGCACGATCGTTTCTCGTATCCCCTCCAAGTACTTGCACGTCGCCAATATGTGTGATACTGTATGTGTGAGTAAGCACTTTTGTGAGACACGAGCGAGTTATTCTTGCCAATATAATCGCCAACGTTCGATATTGACAAAATTATTATTGCCAATATGATCGCCTACGTTCGATAATCCGACAGGGTACTTGTAGTAATAGGCCACATGGAAAAGAAGAAGAAGAGGCGTGACACCATGAAGTTAGATATAGAGGTTAGGAGGTTAATATAAAAAGATGTAACGTGTATATTGTTAATCTTATAGTTTTATTAAATATAACATTTAATAAATACCGAGTATTATTATTACAGTACTAAAAGAAGAAAGAAGATATTGTTTTAGTTACGTTTAAATTACGAGATCGAAGTGTTTCTCACTCGCTTGCGGAGAAAATTCAAATCAAGGAACTTTCACGTCCAATAGACCACTTCCAGATTTGAATATAACAATTACGCAGAAAGCTTCAACATATAGCTGGATTTGTGGATGTGATCAACAAAATGCATTTTTCTGTTTCTAGTGTGTTTTGTTTGAAGGCGATCCTACATAGGCAAGACATAATGAAATGAGTAACGTCCCATGACATCTGTCAACGTACAAGTGTTATGTCATAGAACTACTTAAATGTCAAGTATATACAATTAACTTTTTGTGCATATACAATATATACAGTATATACAATTTCCTAAATTGCTAAAATGATCTCTAACAGGTTCTATGAAATCTATCAATGAATCATACATTACAACTGCAGTATTTAGGAATTCGTCTTTTTGTTAAGAGTCTTGTATGAAGTATTTATTATCTCTTAAATCTTTTTCAATATAATAGGTAACAGTACATACTCAATTTTTTATGTAAACCGGCAGCTTTACGATATTATGAAATGGTTTTTCATCTTTGTTTGAGGAAAAATGATAATCGAACATGAGTATGATCGGAAGGTTGCATGATAGATGTATACATGCCTTTAACTATTCTGAAGAAGAAGGCAATAGTTAATTTTCTTTTTTGATACTTCGTTGATCAAAAAGATGATTCAATTTTTTTTTCTATAATACTGTCGCATCTGTTAAGTATCAAAACTCTTAGTTTATCATTAGTTTGAGATGATTTTATATTTATATTTTCTGCTTTTATTTCATCTTCACAATCGGAATTGCTGGTTTTTCCTGCTGGTCTTTTTGAAAAATAGTTTCGGATACAAAATATGAGTCATATTAAAAACCTGTAAAAATGTTGTTTATTCACTTTTATCTTCTAGATCTAGATTGTATTAGATGGCAGAAATTCCAGGTAATATCTACCTGGAACGGTCGCTCCCCTACGATTCGAAGGTTCCAGAAACCGGTCGAATGAAGATCTGGCCGATTGAACTTCTAGTCAGAGAGAATCACCGGAACTCTCGAAATAACGGCATGTTATATAAATAGAAACCTTTTTGCAGAAAACACCAGTCAGAAGATATATCGCGCCGAGTTTTAAATGTAACGCTCGTATAAATAAATTATGTAAGATAACTTAGTATAAATAAACTTTAAATTAAATTGTAAGTGTTATAAATATAGAACCTTTGATAAATAATAAAAACAATAAATTAGAATTAATAAATATACAACAATATAAATTTTATGAAATAACTCTCAATAAGTACTATACTACTCCTACTTTATTTTACTAAATAAGTAAAATTTTGTTTGGTTTGATTTCTTACACAATTTGATCATATATTATTTATTAATAAATTGTATTGATAAATACATACATTTATATTAATATTAATAGCTTTAAAAACTAATTATTGCTGTGTATTGTGATATGCCAAAACAATTAAATAGTCTGTAGAAAGCTAATAAGCTTTTATACAAGATAGATTATTTTGAACAAGAAATAATGACGGGACGTTTTTACTATTAATGTTCTAAAAGAGGTAAGTTTAAAATTTAGAATATATAATTTTGTATTAAAATGTTTTCTTATGTATTGTAGTGTGTTGCAGTAGTCTTAAAACTAAGTGTATTTACTGTTAATATAATAGTTTGACAAATAGCTTCAGAAAAATACTTAAAAAATTCACACTTAAGTTTTTTCTCCTGTGTGTACCCTCAAATGTGTTTTCAAACTAAAGGGTCTCCCAATAAGAATGTCCTGATGTTTTTTTTTTTAAACGAAAACGGCAAAAATTGCTGTAAATCAAAAAAAATTGTTTTATTGCAAAATATAATAGATAAAAATTATGTTCCGAATAACACATCATTCAAATGTCCACTGCGACTTCGTTTGCAGGAGCGAATCCCATGAACCCAATTTTTCGGTCACTTTATGCAAAATATCCGCATTAATCACACGAATGGTATGCTCTATGTTCCTCTTTAAGTCTTCAATAGATTGTGGTTTATTTACATAGACCAATGACTTAACATAGCACCATAAAAAATAATCCAACGGTGTTAAATCGCAGCTTCTTGAAGGCCAAGCATCTGGTCGAAGTTGCTGAATTCTCCTGGGATCTCTGGCATCAAGAGAAATCAATCTTTCCGGGAACTTTTCCTTCAATAAATCAATGGTTGGGGCAGTAGTGTGACATGTAGCACCGTCCTGTTTGAAAAACATGCCATCCAAATCCATTTCATCCAACTGAGGCCACAAAAAATCCGTTATCATCGTTCGATACCTTTCACCGTTGACTGTTACACAATGTTCGAAAAAATAAGGTCCGATGATGCCACCATGCCATAAACCACACCAGACAGTGACTTTTTTGGATGCAAAGGCTTCTTAAGAATCTTATGTGGATTATTTTCACTCTAAAGATGACAATTTTGCATATCCACAAAGCCGTTTAACCAAAAATGAGCTTCATTGGAACAGATTATTTTTTTAAAAAAGTCGCCATCATTTTCGAGTTTGTCTAGAGCCCAATCGGCGAACAAACGCTTATGATGGTCAAGTGGCTTCAGTTCTTGAGTCAGAACAATCTTGTAAGGGTGTAGGCCTAAATCTTTTCTCAGAATACGCCAAGTTGTCATTTTGGTGAGTCCAAGTTCTTGAGAACGACGATTTACGGACACATTTGCATTCTCCGCTACACTGACTCTTACAGCAGCAATATTGTCCTGAGTTCTTGCATTTCGGCGTCTAGTTGGTGGTTTCGTATCGTGCAGAGTAAATTCACGTTTTTTACTTTAACAGAGTAAATTAACTTTTTACGATTCGACGAATTACACGCACATCAGGACGATGATTTGGTCCATAACTTTCACGTAATACACGGTATTCACAAAAGAACGATTAAAATTTTACTTTTATTATTTATTTATTAACAAAATTTTAGGATAATTTCCAAACGTTATTCAAGCGTATATCTTGCCATGGTAATTTGTTAGAGTATACTAAATATAAACGTCAACAAGTGACAGTTCTATAATTTTCAAAATGACCGCTATGACATTTCAAAAACAGGACGTCCTTATTGGGAAACCCTTTACATGCTTCACTAAATTACTCAAAACAAACTTTACACTTGTACGGTTTTTCTCCAGTGTGCACACTCAAATGTATTTTCAAATCACTTGTAGTAATTAACTGTTTTATACAAATTTTACACTTATACGGTTTTTCTTCAGTGTATACTGTCAAATACCCTAAATAATTTGGTTAAAACAAATTTTGTTTTTTCAAATTACCTTTAATCAGTGGCAGCATAAGATCATAATTTTATTTGTACAAGAATAATTTTGCGAGGTTCCCTGCTCACGCATAAAGACAGAATTTTCAAAATAAAAAACATGTGTCATTTCATTATTAAACTTTTAATGCAAAATCTAGTCAAATCTATCAACGTTAAAAAACAATTTAAGTATTACATTAACAGATTTTTTTTTCCTTTTTATACTACTGAATTGTTTAATTACGTGCTCGTAATCTAGTTTGGGTATTATATCAGCCTCTATATATAAAATTTCGACCGCACACCTTAACTAATTCTTAATGAGTTTTAATTTTGAGAAACTCTTTCCAGCGAAGGCTGTACTAATTGGTATTGTTAATAATATTATAATGGCAATGTAAATATTTAGCCATATTTCTTTTAAGTTATTATCTGTAATGTATTGAAGCAACTGTTTCACGTCTGTTATAAAGTTAGGTAAATTAGGGATCGTTATTTGTAATTCTTCATATAATTTGTAAGGTTGAAAGTCACTGCTATCACCCACTGGTAGGACTGTGTGTAAATCTTGACCATTTTTTAATATTTGTTCGTCTGGAATATTTTTTAATTTATTTATACAGAAAACCGAAATTTTCATGATAGTAATTTAAAGCCATAAATCTCAAGTCCATAATTGAATCAAGCCTAGTGTTAAAAAAATTTGATTCATATTGGCTCTTGGGACACTGTATAGGTTGGTCCTCGACCTAATAATCAAAGACTCTTTTCTTCTTCGCTACTCTTGTTTTTAACTTCGGTTGGCAGATCATAACAGCTTCTGTCAATACATTTTTGAGAATCAGACAAGCATTTTTCAAATCCAGTTTGACGATATTCTTTGATCCAGTCACAAAATGTATTCAAATGTTTAAAGGTAATGCTCAAATGGACTTTGCTATAGTATTTGCTAAAATGGTACAGGTTGCTATAGTTTGCTTATCACATTAACACACGATAACAATTCATACCATATATGTAAAGATATTACAAATTCTAAACTAGGCATTTCGATTAATACCGTCACAATCATTGAGAGTGTCTGATTGATCTGTTTGATTTTTAAAACTTTCTATGCATCCTACAAGATCATCAAATTGAAATAGTATGGACTTAACTGCCTCGATTCTGCTTTCCCATCTCATGTCCAATAAATGCTTCATGGTAAGTTAAGTTTTAATTTATCTTGACCAATTCCCAGCGTTTGCTGGAACTCGAAAACAGCAAATGAATTTTTTGGATAAACCAAACAATGTTTTTGGTGTCACCGAAGAATTAGCGGCATCTATCAACAGCAGATTCCAGCTATATCAACCGCAATGTGTAAAAAATGCCTTAGGATTTATATTTAATATTCTAGTTTTGACTCCAGTTTTTATGCCTACCATATTTGCGCCATTGTCGTATCCTTGGCCAAGGCAGTTTTGAATATCTAAGGAATTCTTTTCTAGTTCGCCTTACGCCTGTTGTCTCACTTACAGCAAGAAATCCAATAAAGTATTATTCTATTCTATTACAAAATCTTAAGACCACAGACATTTGTTCTACTTTACTACAGTCTCAAGCAAAAAAGAATAATATTTTAATTTGCGAATCACTTCACCAGTTAACGGGGAATACCCTATTTTGTTTTTAGCGGCGAGGTGCAGCGGAAATTCTTCGCTAGCGATAGGAACGAAATTTTAGGGGAATACCTTTTTTTTAGGCCAGTGGTGACGTGCATTGCAGCGGGGATTTATCGCGAGTGATAGCGACACAAGCACTTTTTTCGAAGCGTTCATGGCTTAGGTTTAAGTAATACATAAATCTCCATGGCGCGAGTCCTCTCGGACCGCAAGGCCGTGGGCTGTAGCAAACGTCGCCCACGCCCAACGCCGCCCCTGCCTTCAATAACAAACTGCTAGAAGTTTAACACTTGTACGGTTTTTCTCTAGAGCGCCTTCAAATATAGTTTCAAACCATTTATAATAAACTGCTTTACACAAATTTGACACTTTTACGATTTTTCTTCAGTGTGTAATCTCAAATGCTTTTTCAAATGACTTGCTTGCCCAAATTGCTTAACACAAATTTCACATTTGTACGGTTTTTCTCCAGAGTGCACTCTCAAATGCTGTGTTAAATGACTTTTATTAACAAACTGCTTTAAACAAATTTCACACTTGTACGGTTTTTCTCCAGTGTGCACTCTCAAATGCTGTTTTAAATGACTTGTATTAATAAACTGCTTTAAAAAAATTTCACACTTGTACGGTTTTTCTCCAGTGTGTACCATCAAATGTGTTTTCAAAATACGTGCTTCTCCAAACTGCTTAAAACAAATATTACACTTATACGGTTTTTCTCCAGTGTGCACTCTCAAATGTGTTTTCAAATTATGTGCTTGAATAAATTGTTTAAAACAAATTTCAACGGCTTTTCTCCAGTGTGCGTTTTCAAATGTCTTTTTAAATTATGTGTTTGAATAAATTGTTTAAAACAAATTTCACACTCGTAAGGTTTTTCTCCAGTGTGCGTTTTCAAATGTCTTTTCATACTCTTTATTTGAGAAAACTGCTTGAAACAAATTTCACATTTGTAAGGTCTCTGTCCAGTCATAACTTTCATATTTTTATTTAATATTTTTCCTTCAACGTGTTCATCTGTATTTTTTTCTTTATGAGACGAATGTAACGTTTCCATAATTTTTATTTTATTCTCCTCCTGGAAACAACCTAAAATACAAACCAACTATAAACATTTTACTGTAACAGAAGAACAAATGAATATATTGTAATAAATAAGGAACATTTCCAGCCAAAGTTGGCCAACAATCAAAGACAACAAACTTAGGAATAACAGTGATACAGAAGTGCGCGTATTACGCCAGCTTAATAAAAATACTAAAAATAGAGCAACCTACAAAAAAGTACAAAAATCCTTTCCAAAAACAAGGGCAATATAAAACCAAACAGATTACAACGATTGTAGAGCAAAATAGAAGTTTAAGGATACTGAAGCCAATCTCCAGGTAAAAAGTTGAGAAAAGTCAAAAATGGGGGTTCAGAGATCACTTCAGAAGTAACAATTGAAGAATTCTAAAGTCATTAAATCAAATGAAAAACAAAAAGCAGCTAGTGATAACTAAATCGTTAGTGAAGCAATTAAAGCAGGAGAAAACACAGTAGTAGTAAAAGCATTGACAAAATATATACCTTATGCATTTCAAAAGAAGTTACACCGTCTGAGTGGAATAAAGCTGTTATAGTCACGCACAAAAAGGGAGATATAATAGAGCTGAACAGCTTATTATATTATATTAGCTTATCTCACATTTATAAGTTGTTTATGAAGATAATCACTAATAGGTTGACAACAAAACTAGGCTTCTATCTACCCTGTAAGCAAGCAGGATTTAGAGATGGATACGAAACAAATGATCATTTGTAAACCATCAAGACGTTAATAGAAAAAAACATTGAATATAATAGAGCTTTAGAGCGTTTTCACCGTTTTGAGTTATACTATTAGTTAGAGACGCTACTCTTTTGAAAATCATTTGATTTATCAGTCGATATCAATACTTTTAATTTGGATACCGAATGAACCATTTTGTATTCTTAGAAGAGTTATGATGATTTAAAACACGAAAATCTGGTTGGAATCTTCTGTTTTCCGGATATTTCGCCGGTTTGTGTTATTTTTCTAGTTAAATTATTATTCAACTAAGTTTTTTCAAAAAAAAAATCGAAAATAGTTCATTATATTCATTAAATCAAATACAGGTTAAGTCAAAATGCAAGTACATTATTTTCTTGGTAATTTTAAATAGAACACCCTGTATTTTATATCACTATCGAAAAGTACTAATATTGTACTTCAAATTTTATGAAGTACTCTCTAGACCTAAAGTTATCAGTTTTCGAGATATTTTTTTTCCATCTTAGATATTTTAACGTTTACCAATAATTATTGTGAGTTGGTCATGATTGATTTGTCAGAAACTGACATTTACATTATTGTTTATTAATTCAGTATTGGGGTACACCGTAAATTAGCAAAAATTATTATTTAGTAATTCAGTAATTAATTTAATTTAAATTAGCAATAATGAATTTTACTACTGATGAAATGGTAGATATGATCTGGATATTGGGGGAATGCAATAAAAATTCATTACTATCAACTAGAATTTATCAAGAACGGTTTCCAGATAGGAGGCAACTACCTAGACAAGATACATTTGAAAAATAGAAAGATCAATTTAACAGCACTGGTTCAGTGAATTATGAAAAACATGAACGAACAAAAACTACCCACACACCAGTATAAGGAGTATTTCCAATGAACAAGAACTTAGTTACTACTTTATTCAAAACATTATATCTATAACAAGATGCACCATTATCATAGTCAAAAGCACCAAGAATTAAATAATGATGATTTTCAAAAACAAATAGTATTTTGTGAATGGGCCTTAGAAAAAATTAATGAGCTTAGAGATCTTTTTGATTCTGTACTATTTGGTGATGAAGCTACTTTCCATCGAAACGGTTATGTTAATAGGCATAACTTTCACTACTATTCAACAAGTAATCCATACCACATAGTAACACATAGTCAAACAAGATGGTCTCTAAATGTGTGGGGAGGTATGGTTGGTATCCATATAGTAGGACCATATTTTTTGTAGATAACTTAAATGGTAAGATTTATTTAGATTTTATCATAAATCAGTTACCGATATTATTAAAAGAGGTTCCACTTAATATACGTGAACAAATGTGGTTTCTACATGACGGTGCTCCTGTGCACCACAACGAAATAGTATTTGGTGAACTTAATGATCAGTTTGGTGAAAGATAGATCGGAAAGGATGGACCGGTAACGTGGCCCCCAAGGTCACCATAATTCAATAAAATGGACTCATTTTTTTGGGGTTCCGTTAAGAACGAAGTATATAAAATACCTCCAACAAGGGATGATATGAAAAATAAAATCCGAATTGCATTTCAAAATATTTCTTTACAAATGCTTAGTAATGTAAGCAACTCTTTCAATGACGGCTTTCAAGTAGGCATGGTTATTTTGAACACCTTACTTAAGTAAGATAAGTTAAAATTACTTTTGTTTTTTATTTTTCTACTTATGTGTTGTTATTTTTTTTCTTTAATATTTCGTCGGTTATTTTTTAGAAATTTTATTTGATATAAATTGTTTTCTTTTCTGTGTTGTTACTTCGTCACTGAATTAATAAACAATAATGTCAAACTGTTAGTTTCTGACAAATTAATCATGGCCAACTCACAATAATTGTTGGTAAACGTTAAAATATCTACCAAATTAATACTTTGATGGACAAATAAAAATATCTAGAACACTGATAACTTTAGGTATTGGGAGTACTTTATAAAATTTGAATTAGTAAAGTTTGAAATATTAGTACTTTTCGATAGTGATATAAAATACAGGGTGTTCTATTTAAAATTACCAAGAAAATAATGTACTTGCATTTTCACTTAACCTGTATTTGATTTAACGAATATTATGAAAACGAATATGTTTTATAATTTTTAACAATTATTAAAAAACTATGGTTGCAATAGATTAATGTTCCTATACTCCTTTTTAATTATACAGGGAGTTAAACTTGATACGATTTTCAGGTAATATTGGTTATAACTTTTTAAATACACCTAGTTTTAAGTAAGTAAGTTTTAGAAGGCACAGTGGTAAAAATTTGAATTCGATTTCACCAGGTAGAAATCATATGATTTCTCTTTTTGTTATTAGATGGCGTAGTTAGTTATTTTGATAACTATTGTGTACGACGGGAATAGATTTTGTTTCGATCCAGAGTAGTGGCTATACCGCTCTGAGGAGACCGAAAGAGGTCGAAATACGTACAAGCGGCTTGCACTGCTCTGTATCGAAACAAAAATCTAGTACCGTCTTTATATTATATTTTAAACAGTAAAAATTTTTCATAAAAACAGTATATCAAATCACAAAATTTAAAAAATAGCACATATTTAGATTAATATAATAATTAGACTCTTAAGTTGCTGTTTGAAAACATGTTTGGACAGAACGGATCCAATAGGAGGTCATTGCAAGAACTGAGAATTCTAGACAAGAGAAAATAACGAGAAGAATCAGTCCTATGAAAAGAAATATAAAAGAGTGCAGTGTGTCAAGTTCTATGTATTGTGTTTAAGTACACATTGGCTAATAACGGAGGACAATTAATAACGTTGTTTAGAATTTTAAACAAAAATAACATCAGCTCTCATCCTGCTGAGATTCTTCCATGTAGTAATGTTAAATTGAGACATTATTACAGAATAATTAATGAAAAACCGTCTCGTGTTCCCAAACCTTGCCTAAACCAGTTCGGGTTTAGGCGAGGTTTGGGAACACGAGAAGCAATAGTAGCAACACAGGTGCTGGTCCAAAATTGTTACGATCAGAAGAAGGATGTGTTCCAAAATGATTTTTGGATTACCAAAAAGCATTTGATCGTGTCCAACACCGCAAGTTAATGCAGATCCTCAAGAAAGTTGATATAGACCAAAAAGACATAAGATGCATTGAAAACTTGTACTGGCATCAAACGGCACAGTTAAAAATACACAATTCTATATCCAAACCCATACATATAAGAAGGGGCGTTCGACAGGGATGTGTGCTTTCCCCTCTTTTATTTAACATTTATTCGGAAGCCATATTTCAAGAGTCTTTGAAGGATGCAAAGATGGGAATCAAAGTGAATGGAGTATTGATCAACAACATACGATACTTGGATACAAACTTGGATGCACTTGAAAACTCCACCATAACACTGAATACTAAGTCCATTGAAAGAGTGAGTAAATTTAAATACCTGGGATCGTGGCTTTTTGAAGACTGGGCATCGGACAGGGAAGTAAAATGTCGCATTGAGCAAGCTCAACAAGCTTTCGTAAAATTCAAGAAGGTACTGACTTGATCAGAGTTCGATCTTCAACTGAGACTAAGGTTTACTAAGTGTTGCGTGTGGTCAGTGTTGCTATATGGCGTAGAGGGCTGGACTCTCAAAACGAGGGATATAAACAGATTAGAAGCTTTCGAAATGTGGCTCTATCGCCGTATCCTAAAAATACCATGGACAGCGAAAATCACAAATATAGATGTCCTTAAAAGAATAAACCAAGAACGCCAACTTTTCGAAACCATCAAAAAAAGGAAAACGGCGTATCTAGGTCACATCATGCGAAATGAAAAATACCAGTTCCTCCAACTTATAATCGAGGGTAAAATTGAAGGCAAGAGAGGAATGGGACGCAAGAAAATGTCCTGGCTCCGAAACATAAGGCAATGGACAGGGATTAACGACATACAATCTCTGATACATATTGCAACAAATAGAGAATTAATGGAAAATGTGATCGCTAACATCCATTAGTGGATTTGCATCTGAAGAAGAAGAATCAATGAAATAATTTTTATTATTTCTTATATTAATATGTGCTTTAAAAGCTAAAAATCTTAGAAAATTCTGCTGAACGCTCTCCAATCCATCAAAAAAGGTCCCTTTAGTTGTTTGTTTTGTGTCTTAAGACAAGTTTATTGCACTTAAACTTAACTTCAGCATTAATTCTTAACTTGTTACCATCAACTAGATTCAGAAATGTTTTATTGCTTTAAATTACAGTAATTGCTTAAAGTAATAGCTCTCCTAATAAAACAAACATTT